AACACTTAACTTTAGGAAAATGTTCAGAGTGATCTGCTTAAATTGTTAATGGCATCTGAGACCAAAGATGCTATGATATACGCAATATTAATAACTAAAAACAGGCGTTGGTTAAATCCTCTCGGTAGATTAGATTATTTTTTCTCTTAAAAAGACAATTGCTTCCAGTTTGGCTTCATACATTTAATGTAAAAAGGAACAATTAGATGTGTCATGTCAAAGGGGTGCTTGGCTAGCTGGATGACAAAATAGCGCTGGAATAAGGTTTGAACAATTGCATCTACCTAAGTCTCATTTATCTGGTCTTCAGCAGATAACTGAATGACCAACTTGCTTTAGACTACTTAGAATCTGAATAACTGTGAACTTGCTTGTAGTCAAATTATGTTTTTGACTGTTTAACGAGTAGAGGAATGATTATGTTCCAATTTTAAATGTAGCAATGTTAAGTTGTTCAAAGGCCTTCAAAATTTTCAGTTGACTCACGTTGAGTGTATTGTTCAGCCAAAGGTAAATTTATGAAGTTAATTTTCAAAAGGTCAAAATATAAAACATATTAATGCAGGCGAGCCTTTTTTTTACTCACAAAGCGTTTTAGTAGATGGTGATAAACAATTACCATACTACGCGTAGTCGTAATTATGTATCAAATAATGGTTAGCTTTCTTCAGTCACTAAGAATAACAAGAGGTTAAAACGCAAAAGCGTAAACCGGCCTATTTCTTCTTTAACATGTATATTAAACCCTGCATTCATCTTCGTATAAATAGCGTGGCGCCAAATGTTTGTTTCAGAGCCTATTTAACTGTCTATTGAATATGAAAGTAAGCAAATCTTTGAGAAACTTTTTTATCTGCCCACATTAAAGCCGAATGGTATATATACAAACTGAGGTAGTGTATGCAAAATTATAGAGATATGAGATATATGGGATATATTTCCTATCATAGGAAAAACCTTCTTGATGTAATATTCAAAAGAATCAATTCTGCAATTCCAAAAAACCAAAGTGGCTAGAATTAATTGCGTTGACTATTAATTTTTCCCTACAGACGACATATAGTTCAGCTTCACCTTCTCCAAAAACAAACGGTAATAATTAACCAAAAATATGCGCACGAAACCGGAATAATCCCACGTC